TCTAAAACCCTAAACCCTAAACCTTAAACCCTAAACCTTAAATCCTAAACCCTAAACCTTAAACCCTAGACCTTATATCCTAAACCCTAAACCTTAAACCCTAAACCTTAAACCCTAAACCCTAAACGTTAAACCCTAAGCGAGTCTGAAGCTTCCCACACCCCCCAGAGCCGACTAGCTTGTTGACATCCCTGGGCCTTAAACCCATGACTCACGAGAGCAAATTCCAACACCTCTTGAGACCATGTCCGGAGCATCACGCCGAAGCCCAAAGGCGCATATATATATATATATATGTGCATGTATGTTTATATATATATATGTAGATGTAATTATGTATATAACCTCCAATGTAAGGCGGTTTGAAGTACTACCAGTACTATTCCTGAAGTACTTGCAGTGAGTCCTCAGTCCTCTGAAATATCCACCCCTTGTGTGCCTGTGAAGGCCCTTAGATTGAAAGAGCCCGCGAAGGACCCATGGTAGAGACATCACAGGAACCCTAACAGAACTTGGAAGAGGAAGCGGCCCCTTTCAGCATCAGTAAGGCAATGCGCCTACTTCAAACACTGCACCGGTAGGGCCTTCTATATGGGTAGTTGTCAAAAATAGGGTCCCTTTTTTGGAAACCTAAATATTAGGTGCCGTACTATAAGAAGGACCCAAAGGGGACGATAATTTTGACAACCACCCATATCCCAAATCCATGGTATACTCGCCTGCCCTCTCTCGGGTAATCAGTTTAAAGCTGTAGATAGGATGTTGTTACTTGTCATGAATGACAACCACCTATAGTCTCCATTGTAGTTCCATTTTGGGGGTACTTTATAGGATCCTAATTATATATTTGGTTAAACCAGAAAAAGGAGCTACGATGGAGACTATAGGCAGTGTCTGAAACAACAATGGCGACTCAACCCAAGGCCCCACAGTGTTCGAAACCCTGCACCTTAAAGCCGTAAACCAAACCCGGAGAACCCCAAAATGTAAACTCCATGCACCGCCATAAATCCAATATCGAACTATCTAAGTGAACTGGAAAAGAAGGCTTTGAGCAACAGACTCTCAACAGAATAGAGGTTTTAATTCAATCTAAATCTCAACCTTTATAGAGGGACCCCGATAAAGAGCGCTTGATGGCACCAACCATTCTAGAACATTTAACCCTCTAGAATGCTAGGGCCTGTCACAGCCTCCTGCGACCCCTAAGGCTCCATGTACCCATATAGTATATGCTTAGGCCTCAATGTACCTAATTATATAGGAACCCCTTTGAGGCCTAAGTCTGTCACAGCCTCCTGCGACGGAGGCATCACTCTCACGGTGAAGGCGCCAGGCGTGGCGCAGAACATGCCTTGAAGCCCAGTGCGTCTTTCCCAGACTCTAAACTAGGATGCCCAGTAGTACCCTTATTCCCTTTTTGTAGTCCTAGGTTCCTTATAAAGTTACCCAATACCAAAAAGAGAGGCCTTTTTATTCTTAGGTTACTGGGTATCCTAGAAACATAAACCCCTAAACCCTAAATCCAAAACCCATTAGTGCTTTAGAGCCTGATGGTGCTTTTGGGTTTGTATTGTCTTAAGGGGTACTTAGGAATGATTTTTCAATTTGGTGTTATTTTTATCCCTAAGGAACAGCTAAAATTTTATTTTTTGCTAGGGTTCTTAGTTCAGTATAGTTACTGTTTATGGTTTATCAGGATTCCCGGGGTTTGAAGTTGTTGTCCCTATGTTGGTGTATTCGCACTGCAAGGGCTGAGGGTTATGGTTGGACCTGTAGAGTTTCCGGGGCTTCTAGGGTCAAGGGTTTCGATTTGGGTTTAGGATTTGAAATCAGAGTTTGGGGATGCAGAGGTTCATGGTCCCACGGTTTAGATGTTCAGGCTTAAGGGTTGTGGCTTGTTAGGTGTGGGATGGGGGGGGTGGGGGCTAGGGGCCTTCATAATTAGAATAGGTTTGGGGGTATGTTAGCATTGGGGTAATGTTAGAATGCGATTATATATTCTATTTGTGATAAGGAACCCCCAAATTATTAAGGCGCCAACATTGGGTTTTTGTTTTCACATGTCTATCCTTCGTGACTGCCGGACTTCAACTCGAAGGTTAGTTAGTACCTATAAAATTTCACCGGGATTATAGGGGTTTAACGACGGCTGGATATTGAATGTTTGGCTGACAGCCATGTTCTGCTCCTATTTCGTTTCTTGCAGAAAAAACATGGGGCTTGGAAACATGAGAACTCACAGCCCTCCGGTACCCTAAGCCCTAAACTCTACCTGGACCCTATAAAACATCCCTTTTAGGGTTCCCTTTCCTTGTATGAGTCCGTAAAAAGGGAAGTTATTCGGGGTTAAGGTAGGCTTCATTGAAAGGATATAAGGCTCTTATATGATAGGCACTAAAACCATGGAGAAGACCACATCCCCTGCAGAAAAGGGCCGACTGAGGGGAAAGACCCAGAGCCTAAGCTTCGAGAGTTGGCCATGAACTACCGGAGTGAAACCCGCTAGTCCACGTGGACCTATATAGATTTGCATCTGTTTGAAAAATATGGATAGTCGTCTTTAAGCTTCATAAGGTCTGTATATGGATAGGTAGATGGGTAGATAGATAGACAGACAGACAGACAGACAGGTAAATAGGTAGGCAGACTTGTTTTCGGTGCAAGCCTATTTGCTTGCAGTGTGTGTGTGTGTGTGTGCGTGTATTTTTTGCGCCTTTGTCTAGAAACTACCCGCTGATGCTTCGTCTTCTGCAGTTGAGTTGTTGTCTTTCTTGCATTATATACCCTCAGCCCTGGAAGCACTACCTAGAGGAAGCAGTGTATCTCTAAAGCAGGAGGTGATACGGTTGAAGATATAAATCCTGCATTACCCATAATGAGGAATATACCATAATTTCCATAGTCTAGTCTAGGGTCCTTCAGGTAATGCAGGGTTTATATCATGAACAGTACTACTATATTCCCCGAAGATATTAATTAAACAACTCAAAAGCCTGAGCCCTAAGCCTTGAGACCTACATAAACCCCAAGCTCTGGGTCCTAAAACCTAAGCCCTACGTCCTAAATTCTAATTCCCAAGCCTTCAACCCTCGACGCTCAGCACCTTTCAAAACTTAGATCCCCAAGACCTAACCTTTTATATAACTTGTTGGGTTATTATAGTTCAGTAGGAATCGGAAAGATTAACCTTCAATTTCTGTGGCTTATTGGGGTAGTAAGAGAAGCGTCTGAAGCGAGGTTGGGTCGTTGGAGCTCCAAGAACGGGCAGCTCGACTGTGGAAGCCTTTCTCAGGCCTGTTTAGGATTCGGCTTTTTAGGGCTTTCTGGTTTAGGGTTGAGGGTGTTTCTAGGGTTTAGTAGTTACAGGGTTTAGGGTTTAGTCTTGTAAGTGTTCCTCAGAAGGGTTCTTATGCGGGTATTCAGGATTTGGGCTTATTGACTTTAGGGGGCTTCTTCTGCTAATCTTACTACCAGTTGAAATTCAGTGTCGTTCGCTTGGTTTTGGGGTGTTTATAGGGTTTACAGCGTTTATCACACGGCTTACTTAAAGGATCATGGGACTTAGTAACTAGGGTTATAAATAAGGTAATTATACTTACAAATACTTATAGCACCAATCAGGGGACTTATAACTTTACCTTACTAAGTCCCCTGATCCTCCAAGTAGGGTTTATGATAGGGTTTAGTTTTTCTTGGGAGATTTTCAGCAGTTAGCAGCCCTTCTCATGCACGGGCTCTTCCTGGGAGGCAAGGGGTTGAGCAAGCCCAGAGGCTCCATATATACTACTATTATGGAATTAAGCCCCCAAAGCCATAATGAGGATGGTCTTTTGGGGCCTAATTCCATAATAATGGTAGTATATATGGAGCCTCTAGGAAGCTTGCAAGGGTTCTAAACGGGCTTGTGCTTGTGCTGACGTTGTAGGGCTTTGTAGACTGTCTAGGGTCGTACAGTAGGAGGTAAGTGGTCTCAGGGATTGCAAAGTTTAGTGACTGCCTGAGGATGTTGCGTTTGGGGGTTGCAATTTCGTAGTGCGGGTCTGCAAGGAACATAATTTCAGCTTCGAAGGCTTGTTTCTCTGTATCACAATTCCTCAATTTCTCTGCTGCTTTCAACTGCTTTCCATCATTCTGACCCAGAAACTCGCCAAGGTACATGAAGGACACGCGCTGTTCCTCACAATGATTCTCTAAACGCCTTGCTGACTCTTAAGCCCCAAGCCCCCGTTGCCCCGGAGGGTTGTTCAACCCCCACCATCCCCTAAACTTACAATTTTTTCATCCCAGAACTCAGAGGGATCCTTAGGGGTGTAGGGGGAGGGGGGGTAGGGGGCCTTAAGGCCCATAATAAGGACGAATAAGGCCTATTTAAGGAAATATAGTCCCCTACACCCCTCCCCCCTACACCCCTAAGGATCCCTATGAAGAACACCTCCTTAGCTGCCAGGTGCCCTACTGCAGCGCGGCAGGCGGGAAGCCCAGCATAGGTGCACAGGTTCGGAGTTTCGGATATCAAAAGGGAAAAGGAGGGAGCCTTAATGGGGACCCCTACACTATAATGGGGCTATATAATGGGTATATAATAGCTATATTAAGGGTATACACCCAGGGGTCCTTATTAAGGGTCCCTCCCTTCACCCTTGGAGGATATCGGTTCTGTTTATGAGTTTCTGCGTGCTGCTTTCTTCTTGTTCCCCAAAATGATAGGTACCTTATTATGGGGGATACCAACCCAGACCGTAATCCTAATTTTTACTTTGTGGCATCGGTCGACCGAGGACTAACAATCATTCGGGAGCAATCCAGATCGTATAGGATTAAGGATTACTGTTTTGATTATATTAGGGATCCTATCCTAGGTTTAGGCAAATCTAAGGGCCATTGGAAAGTTTGGTTACCTTGAGCCCTCCATTAGAGAATCCTGATACATCTTCGAAGGGAGCCCTAAACCCAAAACCTTAACTGAAGGATAAACATCTGCGAAGTCCCGTTGTGTAATGGAAGCAACAGGCATCGACACCTGCGAGCGCAGCTATGCTATCCAATCTGGCATTGGCACCTTGGTTTGACGTCTGGGGGCTTAGGGCTTCGGGTTTAGAGTCTTTGAAGCACGAAAGGTTGTGACTGGAAGGGCCATTGTAACATAGAGTTTAGACTTTGCGGGCAACTTTAGCTTAAAGGCACTCACACACGAGCCCCTGCAGGGTCGAAGTGTATACTGTATCGGCACATGGACCCTTGGGGTGCTGCAGACTGATTACCTGTTTCAGTAATTGCAGATTTGTTTTGCGGAAGGTTTTAGAGTTTAGAGTTTGGGGCCTAGCGTTCAGGATTTCATCGCCCTACCTGCTTTGCTGACCTCTTGGACCTTCTGGGCATGCAGTTTTCTCCAAAGCAAATTCGCTGCATGCGCTGTGCGGCAGCAGTGGATGATGTTCGCGACATTAAAGCGCTCGTCTTGACAGTCAACCGTATTATCATACTGTACTGTGTCGGGTCTGGGCTGGTGATAAAGTAACCCCGAAACCCTAAACCCTAAACCCTAAACCTTAAACCCTAAACCCTAAACCCTAAACCCTAAACCCTTTAGGGGTGTAGGGTTTAGGGGTTTAGGGTATCGGGTACTAGAGTCGACCCTCAGGCTCCTAAGAGGGTCGTGGGCTTTCTGTAGGGGTTTGGGGTTTAGGGGTTTAGGTGTTTAGGGGTATAGGGGTTTAGGGGTTTAGGGTTTAGGGTACTAGAGTCTACCCTAAGGCTCCAAAGAAGGTCTTGGGCTCTGTGGGGGAGGGTTTCGGCTTTGGGGGCTGGGGTTCGGGATCTCACTACAAGGGTCCAGGAGCCTTAGGGTAAGGCTCAACATAGTCCAACAGCCTTAGATAGTATGGCATTAGTATGGTCTATGGACCCAAAATGCCTTGACATCTGAACCCTTAGAGCCAAGAGGATATAGTATAGACTTTGAACACTTTGGAAAGTAAGTGAGCGCATTGGAACCCCAAGTCCTAAACCTTTATCAAAGCGGAAAAGGAGGGACCCTTAATGGGGACCCTTGGGTCCCTATATTGGGGCTATATAATGGGTATATTATAGCTATAATATTAGGGGTATATACCTAGGGGTCCTTATTAAGGGTCCCTCCTTTTACCCTTGGATAAAAGAGCCCAGCTCAGGTTACAAGTGCTTCTGGAACACCGGTGTGTGGCCACCGGCATGTGACGTGGACATGTTCCTGGGCACTGAAGCAGGGTTGAATTTTGGGAGTTTTGAAATCAGGTTTTAGGGTGTGGAGTTTAGCGTATGGGATTCCTAAATTCGGTACCTCCATTTTCTGAAATTCTGAAACACACATCTCCTGTGGAGGTCTGAATGGCTAGTCATAGGCCCACTTGAACTACATGTTATAGAAGATCAATAAGGCTTCTATACAGCACCCTGAACCCTGCCCTTAGACTGCTTTGTGGGTTAAGGGCTGTAGGGTGTTGGGGTATTGGGCTTTGCTTGTTTGCATCGGTTTCTTAGAAGGTAGCTCAGCCAAGAAAGAGTTTGAATAGTTTGTGCAAGTTCCCCCTGTAAGCCCCTGTGTGTAGATATAATACACCCCCCATTGGAAAATCAGAAAAATGGAAAGTCGAGACACCGTTCAGCCTCTTAACGCAATACAAGCCTGAGCCTGACCCCGAAACCCTGAAGCCCTCAACCCCCGAACCGCGAAGCCTGAAACCTAAACCCAGTAGGATCTGCATAGCCTCGCGGCTCTTGCAGTCCTTTGGCTGCTGCAAGGGGATGTTGAGTAGCGTCTTCAACTGATGACAACCCAGTAGGATCCAACCCTTTGCTCCCTGATCGAAACATGTGGTTGGTTCGAGGACGAAAGCATCTGAAGTCCTAATAATGAACAGGCTATCCTTATTCTGAAGGGGTTACTGGGGGACCTAGCCAAGTCGTAGGAAATCGATTTGCCGCACACCAGGAGCCCCTTGTAGGTCCCCTTAAAAAGAGCCCCTATCAAACCCCTATAAATCCCTTGTCGATCCCTTCTTTGGAGTCAACACCAGAGGTGGAACGCGGCGCCCGGGAAGTCGCGCAAGTCAGCCTTACCGCGTTCGCGAACGCAGCCGAAGACCTCGTCGAGGAGTCTGCAGGAATCCTCGTTCGGGCGGATCGAAGGCCGAGGGATCAGCAGCAGTCCCGCGAGGGCTCAAGATGACCAGCCGAGCCGAGCAGCTGGAAAGGCTACTACCTGGGGATCCAAAAACCTACCGTTTTAAGGGTTATACCCTGTAATTAAGGGGTCATAACCTACTATTTTTGTAGGGGTTGCGGTCACAGGAAAGGCTACTATACCCAGAGGCTCCATATACAAATGGATTTAGGCCCCTAAATCCCTGATAAGTATGGTCTTGCGGGGCCTAATTCACACAATGGTACTATATGTAGAGCCTCCGGGATAGGGACCCAAATCACTACCTCTATCATTTTGGGGTTTCCTTATTTAACGAATTTATGGGCCCCAAAACCCTGTTCCCAGACCCCCGGAAGGATCTAGAAAGTAGATCCCTTAATGGGGGTTCCTATAAAGTACCCTTAGTAGCATAGGGCCCCAAATTAGGGGATCTACTTTTTAGATCCTCCCGGGGGTCTGGGTTCTAATGATGAAGGCCCCATAGCCCTTCGTTGGGTTGAGCGCGAGCTTGCCCTTCGCAGATTCGTGGCCCGCAAGCTGCAGGAGCGACACTAAGCACTTAGGCGTCAGTTCTCTTGAAGCAGCACATGTCTGACGATTTTCCGCAGTAGTAGACAAGTAAGTAAATTTTGATATTTTTGGGGGTGCGATAACCACAACTTTTAACTTTACTTCTCCTTGGATACTGGACAGGATGAGATTCAGAGCTCATGGACTGGAAGCGTCGCGAAGTAAGCACTATCATAATGATATTGTTGACTAGTGTTCCGCCCTCAGCGCGTAACCCTCTACCCGATAAAGCCTACTTGGAGGGGCAGGGGACTTAGTAGGTAGGCTATAAGTAGAGTTATAAGTACCCTAAATGAAGTTACCCCAAATATAACCCTACTTATTATAAACGACTTACTAAGTCCCCTGCCCCTCCAAGTATAATCCTTGACCCTAAGCCCGACAGGCCCTCAGCGGGAACCCTCAACTGAACCCCAAACCTTCCAACCCTAAACCTATCAGTCATAAGCCCCAAACCCGACAAAACAGTAGGTTATGACCTCTTAATTGTAGGGTATTGCCCTCAAAACGGTAGCTTTTCGGATTGCCCCTCGACCCGTAAGCCTTCCGCAAGCAACTGTAGGCTTTTATCGAGGTCTAGAGGATGTAGGGTTCAGTGTTTAGGGGTTTAAGGTCTAGGGTCTGATCTAGGAACCTGATTAAGAAGCCTTGGGCCTTTATTAGGGCTCCTTGCGTGAATCCAACTATTTTGGGGTTATAAGGCCCAGGGTTTCTGAATCAGGTTCCTACATCAGGAGCTGATTGGGGTAATAGGGTTTCGGGCTTCGGGGTTTAGGGTTTAAAGTTAGGGTGTCTTTAAGTACGGCGACAGCCATAAGCAACTTTCCAAGCCAAGAGGGTCCATATGTACCACCAGCATGGAATTAGGCCCCCAAAACTGCAATAAATCAGAAAAGAAGCTCCCCAAGGTGTTTCTAGGCTAGGGCCGTACCCAGGGCCTAGGCTACGCTGTGCGTAGGTCCAGGGTAGGTTTGGGGGAGGCCTAGAGGGGTAGGTTTAGGGGTATTGGGGTAGGCCTAGGGGTAGGCCTGGGCAAGGCCAGGGGTAGGGTTAGGGGTAGGGCTGGGGCTACGCGATGGGTAGGCCTGGGGGTGGGCCTAGGGCGTCTAGGATAGGCCTAGAGGAAGCCCTTACCCCAAGACCTACGGGCAGGTCTTGCGGTAAGTCTATAGGGCTAGAGTCATTCAATGCGATTTCCCAAATGTTTTGCAATGCTTCGAATCTATCTTCCAAACAACTCGACCCTAATTCCACAATGGTAGTAATTACATACTGACCCTTACTTGGAGGTTCATGGCTAGTCATAAGTAGCTATGGTTATAAGTCAGATCAGGCACTTATAACTCCACTTATACCTCCCCATGAACCCCAAGCAGTGCGACAGGGGGTTGCATCAGTGCATGAGCTGCGGCAGCACCGACCACGGAGCCGCAGATTGCCCCAAGAATGCAGGGGCCGCCTGACTAGGCACCCCTGCCCTGAGCGCGGCAGAGCCGCAACAGCCCTCGGCCACTGGGCCTGCAGCTCCTTGCCCAGCAGTGCTGGGCCTTTCCGCCACCGCTCCACGCTCAGGGCAGAGCCCTGACCCTCCTGCCTCGGCACCGCCGCTGCACCCGCCTGCCACAAGTAAGCCAGGACGTGCCACAGCTGCGCCGTCGCCTGACGCCGCGTCCGCGGCAAACGCCGAGCCTCCAGTGCTCCTTTTGTCTGAACAGCACAGCGTGCCGGCAGACAACGCTCCGGGCGTTTCTCTCCCCGAGCCCGCTTTGCAAGCGACCCCTCGGCCGCCGCTGTTTGTGGAAGTTTTCTGCGGCCTCGGTCGCCTTAGTAAGGCAGCCATCGAGAAAGGCTTCTCGAACGTCGCCGTGGATCACAAGACCAAGGCCAGAGGCCTTAAGGTCCTTCAGCTCGACCTTTGCACGCAGTTGGGTCGCAACTTGCTGAGAGCAGTGCTCTCACACCAAGACCTGAGATGGGTCCCCTTCTAGAATCCCGAAAGGACCCTTAAAAGGAACCCTTATACCTACCCATGAACCTCCATCTAGGGCTATAACATCTTCAGTCCTGTGGTCACCAAGGGGGACTGACGAGCGAACGATGATCTGCTCGTCGGACGCTCAATTGGTGTTTTTGGTTTCAGGCTTCCGACCTTAACCCTGGGCAACCTACCTTTTTGGGGTTCCTTAACGATTCCTATCTAAATCCTTAAAAGGTAATTAGCTTTTTGGGGGCTAAGGTAGAGCTTAGGGTTTGAGGGTTTTGGCTTTAAGCTGTCTTCATAAAGCTTAGAGTTTGAGGGCTATTCAGGCATGGTGATTTATAAGGCGTTCAACCCTAAATCTCTTAACGAAACAACCTCATAAGCCCTAACACCCTAGCCCCTTGAACCTTTAAAGACTGAACCCCTGACCCACTCAGCCTCTGCCGTGAAACCTTCAAGCCTAGGCCTCTGGGTTTGGTGTTTTACCGAGAGCACCGATGGCATCTTCTAAATTAATATAAAAGCATGACTAGTTACCTATACATTTTCGGGGGCTCCTTATTCTATGTATACTATAATGGGCCCCCAAATCCTTTTCTAATTATTAGGGACCCTGTATTAGGCAGGGGTTTTGAGGTCTAGGGCCAGGGAGGTTTGGCGGGGTGGCTTTTGTTAGTCATGTTCTTCATAGAAGCCTGGCTGGGGATGTTAGACGCATTTTTGGTAGGCTGTGCGGTTTAGGGTTTAGGGTTTACTAGCTCTTAGGAACTATTAGTCTTGAATTGAGATTCATTTTCATTGTGTTTCGCGATGTTACCTAGGACCCAGGGTAGGGCCGTATTCCCTTCCCTTCTTTAGGGTTCAGGTTCCCTTATAACCCCTTTAATCCAAAAAGGGCACTTTTATTCTCAGGTTACTCCTACCCAGACCCGGAGGATCTAGAAAGTAGATCCCCTGATTCGGGGCCCCATACTACTAAGGGTACTTTATAGGAACTCCCATTAAGGGATCTACTTTTTGGATCCTCCCGTGGGTCTGGGTAGGTCTAGTTACCGTCGTTTGGATCTGCTTTTTTACACCGGGGCTGCCCATGAAACGCTGCGAGTGCAAGGTCCAACTCCTGCGGGGGCTCGCCGTCGCAGTGCTGGTAGCCGCCTCGAGGTGCGACTGGAGAGACTAGAAACCCTGAATCTTGAACCGTGTGGAAGGTTGCAGAAGTTGTTTTCGTTGCTGCCGACTAGCAGGATTTGTATTGGGTTGGGGGCTTCTGAGCTGTTGCTTCTGAAAACAGGCCTGAACCCTAAAGCCTAAGCATACGCTTCTCCTGATTGCGATGTCTGCGCCATATTCTAGGACCCAGAGTAGGCCCTTATTCCCTTTTTTAAGGGTTTAGGTTCCCTTATACGCCCCCTTAAACCAAAAAGGGCACCCTTTTTATTCCCAGGTTACTCTTGGGTCTAGTATTGGGGATCCCAATCCCCATCAACAAGGAGTTCTGTTCTGGACCCAGCTAGCGGCTGGCGGCTATTGCGGCTTTTGTTCTGAGGCTTTATGCCAGGATGAGCACAAGGAAAGGCATAGTACCATTTCTCGACACCCTCTCTCCACCCCCTAGGCCCTAAGCCCTACTACAAACTTGATAAAAAATCCCAAACATATATCCAGTTCAATCTCAAGATCGGACAAATCAGCGACTCGAGAATGGGTCACGTGTCGGGTTCGTATAGCCTGCTGTATACCATTTCGACACTTGGGCTTCTATGTAGACCCTGTTGATTGTCGTATGTTTGGGGATCACATAAGGAAAGTACGGTTTTGGAGTTTAGGACTACAGGGTGTAGGGTTTACCTGGGGATCCCAAAACATACTGTTTTCAGGGTTATACCCTCTATTTAAGGGGTCATAACCTGCTCTTTTGTCGGGTTTGGGGATACAAGTAACCGCAACAACTACCCTAAGGCCCCAACTTAGCTTCTTTCTGGGGTTCATATATAGAATCCTGTAGGGTAATCCCAAAAAGGAACTACTTTGGGGCCTCTGGGTAGCCAGGTTCGAAGGTCCAGCGCTAAAACCCAAAACCTGTGCAGCACTAGGCCCGGCTGCCTCATGCAGAAATCTTGGGTCCAAGGGGAAAAGGAGGACACCTAGGTTTCTACCCCTCATATAGCTATTATATACCCATGATATAGCCCCATTTTCGGGTAGGGCTCCCCATTAAGGGTCCCTCCTTTTCCCCTTGGATTGGGCCTTTGACCTTAACCCAGAATAAACTACATGTTTAGGATTCCTCGTTATGAATTCCTTACCCTACGGCTCAAAATATCCCAGAAGCCTTACATAGCATGGTCTTTGGGCCCAAGTGCTATAAATTATGAGTCCTTAGATCCTATAGGTTATATAAGGGCAGCTTAGTCGGGGATAAGGAAGGGCTTGAGGCTCTTTTCGGAGTTTGTGGGGCTGTCGGAGTTCTTGGTCTAAGCGTTTCGGGTTGTTGCGATTTGCGATTTCTAGGGTCAAAAGAAATCTGAACCCTAAACCCTCAAAGCCTCCATAGAAATCTGAACTCTAAACCCTAAAAGGGTCCATGGAAATCTGAAGCCTAAACCCTGAAAAGTCCTTGGGTTGAAATGTCCTGCCCTGCGCCTCATCGCAGGCGGCATCCAGTTTCACAGCTCCCGTTACCTCGGAGCCTGGCGTAGCTCGAATGTGACAGGCAGGCGTCTGAAAACCTTGGCATGCAGCGTGCATCCAAAAGTTGGAGATGTTCGAGTGGAGAGAGGGGTGCCGGGGGTTAGTGTCGGAAGGCAAGTCAGCACCGGGAACTATTCTTGCTGAGCTTTTTGTTCCTCCTCAATTCCTACAGCTGCCGTCTTTGTGGCGAGGTATTCATGCTGGAATTGTCTATGTATATTGAGATGTATATGTATATGTATATGTATGTATATATATATATATATATATATTATGTATATCATATCATATCATATCATATCATATCATACCATACCATACCATACCATACCATATCATATCATATCATATGTATATATATATATATATATATATATATATATTGTATATCGAACGCAAACACACGTACCTGGACATGCATATACATTTTATACGGCTCAAGGAGAGTGCAATTCGTTTGCCGATGCAGTGGCGATGAAGGCTCCCAGCGCATGCAATTTTCCATAGTACACTCTAGGAAGGAGGACGATCTAGCTGCAAGAGGAGCAACACCTGCCAACATGCACGAAGGGAATGGAGGCCTCTGTCTCAGTGCCCTTCCCAAAACTGCAAAAAGTGAGAGTCTCCAACTAAATATCCCAACGATATGATTTCAGCTCCAAGCATTTTAGTCTAGAGGCTCCAGGCGCAAATGCTAGATTGCTTTGGTTAAGCTGAATGCCACAGCTGGTTCTAGACACTGACGCGGTTCCAACGACACCAACATGCCAAAGCCACCCAGACTCTCTCTGTTCAAGGCCATAGGAGTCCGGAACTCAGCGCTCAGGGGTTTAGGGGTCTAGTGTTTTTCGCCTTTAAGGCTCCTGGACCCTGGTAGTGAGATCAGAAACCTCAGCCCCGAAAGCCCAAACCCTCCCCCAGAAAGCCACTGAGAACTTTCGGAGCCTTAGGACTCTAACAGTTTTGGATTACTATGACCCAGAGTAGGCCCTTATTGCCTTTTTAAGGTCTAGGTTCCCTTTTAACCCCCTTTAAACCAAAAAGGGCACCCTTTTTATTGCTATTTTATTCCAGGGTCTAGATTAGGCTGAGGCATGGAGCTTCTGGGTTCCATAGAGGCTAGGAGGCCCAGTAGTACCCTTAAAGGGATCTATAAGGGCTCCTTAAAGGGATCTATAAGGGTTCTATAAAGGGTTTAGGGTTTCCGAAAATTAGAGGCTAGGATGCCCAGTAGTACCCTTATTCCCTTTTTGGTAGTCCTAGGTTCCTTGTTAAGTTACCCAGTACCAAAAAGGGAGCCCTGTTTATTCCTAGGTTACTGGGCATCCAAGTATATTATGGTACCCTTATAAATCCCTTATAGTACCCTTTTCAAGGACCCCTTTAAAGGAACCCTAGAGGCATAGAGGCATAAGTTTCCATACCCGACACCCCAAAACCGTACGAGTTACTGCGACACGGGGCAAGACCGGTACGATCCCAACCAATGGAAACCTCAGCAATTATATCACTACTGTGGATGGACAATATCCTGCATGACCCAATATAAGGAATATACCATAATTCCCATAGTTTAGGGTCCTGAAGGTCATGCAGGATTTTGTCCATCAGCCGTATTGATAGCCATTATTATGTACCTTGTGTAAACCCTGAAGCCTTACTCCGCAAAGACCCCAACCTGAGGTACATCACCGACTTCGGTACAGGTTCCTGGCAAACCTCGTCAACCCCTTAACCTGCGAACCCTAAATCCTAAAGCCCGCCTAAAACCCGAAACCCTAGAACCCTACTTGGAGGTTCATGGGTAGATATAAGTGGGGGAGTTACAAGTCCCTTAATGTGGGTTATAACTGTTGTTACCCTACTTATAACTCCACATATAACTACCCATGAACCTCCGAGTAGAACCCTGAACCTCAGACATCTACACTCCTGACTCCCAAACCCCTAGCCCAAGATGCAATTCAGTACAAAAATCAACAAAACAGCTTCCCTTCTAGTCAGCCTTCAGGGGACACAGGGTTTGGGGATTGGGGGATTCCGCCTTTAGGAGACTTAGGATTCAATAAGGGAATTGCGGGGTGTTGGGAGTAATTTGGGTTTAGGGTTTGGATGGCTTAGGTTCAGGGTTTGGGGTTTGGGGGGACTTAGGTTTAGGGGTCCTGATATGGGAGTTTCCGAAATAAGGGGTACCTCATTTTGGGGTCCTTATAATCAGGATCCTACTATATTAGGGTAGTATATTACGGTCCCCTAGTGTCGGAAACACTAATATAGCTGGACTTGGTTGATGATCTGGCCCAGAGTGTTGGGACCCCCAAAACACCACGTTAACTTGTCGACCCATTTCAGCGTAGGGTTCCTTCAGAAAGAAACGGATGGTGACCAAAAAGTAAAGAAGCCGCAGTTGGTGGGCACACACACACACTCTCTGCACCTTGAAAACCTGACTGTTGACATCCTCTGGTAATAGGCGAAAATAGTTCCCTTGCACCCTCAAGCGAGCATCGATGCCAAGTGAAAGAAGTTACGGCACGCTGTGTCCGTCCTATAAACCCAAATGGTATCGTAGGTACTTTGCGGGAGATTTGTGCCCTTAAAGTACAGAATATACTATACTGTTGGTTGGACCCTTTGGGAACCTCTTCTTCATGGTTTAGCGCGTAAGGTCTCTGATTAACAGGGTCCTTTTTCCATGCTCTTCGGACCCTAAACCCTAAACCCTAAACCCTAGACCCTAAACCCTAAACCCTAAACCCTAAACCGCGAAGCCCAAGACTCTGATCCTGGTTGTAGTCCCGTGTAAGATTTTGATCCCAGCGGGTCCATATATAGTACCATCATGGAAGTAGGTCCAAAACGACCATCCCTACGATGGTGTTGGGGCCCTAATTCCATAATAGGAGTATATATGGACCCTCTTGGTATGTTATATATCATTGGTCTGCTGTTTCGATGTGTAGGGGGCGAGGGTTGAAGTTCTACAGAGCCTTATGGCACTAGGATCTGGGGTCTGGAGAGCTTCGGGTTTAGGGTTTAGGGTTTAAGGGTTTAGGGTTTATGGTTTAGGGTTTAGGGTTTAGGGGTTTAGGGTTTAGGGTTTAGGTTTAGGTGGGGTCTAGGGCCTAGGGCCTAGGGTTCAGGATGGGGGTGATACAACTACGAAAGGAGACGTACTTCATCATTTGCTGTCCCATAAACCCTAAACCCTACGAGTAAAAAACAACACTAAACCCTAAACCCCAAACCCCTAAAGCTCAAAATAGCCCAAAAGCCTTATATAGTATGGTCCTTGGGCCCAAAAGCCTTAAACTATGAGTCCTTAGAGCCTCAGAGAACCCTAAACCCTAAACCCTACGAGTAAAAAACAACACTAAACCCTAAACCCTGTGCCGAGCGAGTGTTTGGCTGCCGGTAGCAAGGCTCGGCTCGGAGGACAGTGAATTCGGTTTAGGGTTTAGGGTTTAGGGATTCATAGAAACTGTGACCGTAAGGCTCAAAGTAGCCCAAAGGCCTTATGTAGCATGGTCTTTGGGCCCAAGTGCCATAATATATGAGTCCTGAGAGCCTAAGGGTAAGAAATGCTATAAACATGCTATACCCTAAGGCTTTTGGACTCTTTTTTAGAGAGATCCCGAACCCTAGCCCCCAAAGCCGAAACCCTCCCCCAGAAAGCCCAAGACCCTCTTAGGAGCCTTAGGGAAACATCGCCAATGATATAAACCGAACTGCCTGCTCAAGCACATGATCTCATCACTACCTAGAGGCTCATACTCCATCCCTTTTTAGGGTACCTAACCATTTATAACTACGGTTGATGATATAAATCCTGCATTTTGAGGACCCTAGACTATGGGAATTGCTGTATGGTGTATTCCTTATTATTATGGGTATGCAGGATGTATATCATCCACCGTAGGTTCCCTAAGAAAGGGGTTCGAGAATCGGCAGCATGTTTCCTGTCGCCTGCCATGGATGTGGAGGCTCAGCAAGCAAGGACCCCCAAACCCTAAACCCGTAAACCCCGAAACACCTAAACTCTAGGATTTCCAGTAGGACCCTTATTCCCTTTTTGTAGTCTTAGGTTCCTTATAAAGTTACCCAATACTGGCCCAATACCAAAAACGGGAGCCCTTTTTCTTCCTAGGTTACTGGGCATCCTGACACCAAAAGCGCTAAACCCTAAACCCTAAACCCTCTTTAGAACACAAAACCATACAGTCCCCAAAGGCATCCTTGGGGGCAGCTTCTAATATATTCCTTACAGGTTCCTGCATTATTCCCCTAAGGGTCCAAGTCCCCAAATAGTAGGGTTTTAAGGTCCAAAAACCATTCAGAGTATGGATTTTGGGATCTAAAAACCTACTATTTGGGTCCTTGAACCCTCTGGGTTCGGCTCTCTGGGTCCCTGGAGGCTCCACCCATCTCACGGTCCGCGCGCTCGCCGCTCTGCGCCGCCTTGGTGGTCTCCGCGCGCAGAGGCGACTGGGCAGAGGCCCTGACAGGGCTTTGGGGTTTAGGGGTTTAGGGTTTGGGGGTTTAGGGTTTGGGGGTTTGGGGTTTAGGGGTTTAGGGTTTAGGGGTTTAGAGTTTGGGGGCTTAGGGGTTTAGGGGTTTAGGGTTTAGGGGTTTAGGGTTTACGGGTCTAGGGTTTAGGGTTAATTTAGGGGTCTAGGCTTTAGGATTTAGGAGTTTCGGTTTTTAAGCCCCGAACCCCAATCAAACCCTTAAACCCTTGGGGTTTAAGGCCCCAAACCCCTAAACTCCAAATCCCTACTTAGATCCCTAAACCCCGAAACCCACACCCCTAAAATAAACCCGTAAGACCCCAAGGCTCTAAACCCCTTCACCCCCAAAAGCCCGAAAGGCCCTGCAGTTGGCGACGGGGCCCGAGATCGATCTCGAAGGAAAGGCTGCGCAGCCTCATGGACTCTACAGCTTCCTTTATAGGGTTTAGGGTTTAGGGTTCGTTTAAAGGGTTTAGGGTTTAGGGTGCCTTTAAAAGGTTTAGGGTTTAGGCTTCCTTTCAAGGGTTTCGGTTTTAAGCTTCCTTTAAAGGGTTTAGGGTTTAGGCTTCCTTTAAAGGGTTTAGGGTTTAGGGTTCCTTTAAAGGGTTTAGGGTTGAGGCTTCCTTTGAAGGGTTACTCTATCGGGGTACTTAGGCTCTAAGGACTCACATTTAAAGGCTTTTAGGCCCAAAGACCATACTATATAAGGCTTTTGGGCTATTTTGAGCCTTAGGGTAAGGGTCCAAAGGACCCAATAATCAGGTACTTAGGTTTAGGATATATAGTGGTTACCTAGGTTACTATTTGGGAGAGTATATGACAATTAACTGGGTACTTGGGCCCTTAGCTTGGGTTTAGGGTATAGGGGCCCTACAGTGCCTCTTAGGACCCCGCAACAAGTAGGTTACGGACCATGTTGTAGGTGTTACCTCAAGGGTCCAAGCACCCAATAATCATATACTCTCCAAAAATCCTAACCTACATAGCTACTATCCTGAAACCGAACCTAAATATTGGGTCCTTTGGACCCTTGGGGTAAGCCCTAAACTCAAAGCACAATAAAGCCTAAACCCAAAACCCCTAAACCCCTAAACCCTAAACCAAACCCCTAAGCCCTAAACCCAAAGCCCTATACCCTAAACCCCTTTAAAGAAGCCAGACTTTATTGGGTCCTTTGGACCCTTGGTGTCAGGCTTTGAGGCCGAGTCTTCCAGGCCCTGTAGGAACCAGTCACAGTGCCAAAGGCTCCATGTAGCCATATAGTATATACTTAGGCCTTAAAGTACCTATATAGGGAC